GGGAGACAGGTGATGGAGGAGGAGGAAGGGGAGGGGCGCAGTGATGGAGGGGGAGGAAGGGGAGGGGCGCAGTGATGATGGAGGAGGAAGGGGGAGGGGCGCAGTGATGAAGGGGGAGGAAGGGGAGGGGCGCAGTGATGATAGAGGGGGAGAAAGGGGAGGGGCGCAGTGATGATAGAGGGAGAGGAAGGGGAGGGGCGCAGTGATGATAGAGGGGGAGGAAGGGGAGGGGCGCAGTGATGGAGGAGGAGGAAGAGGAGGGGCGCAGTGATGGAGGAGGAGGAAGGGGGAGGGGCGCAGTGATGATGGAGGGGAAGGAAGGGGAGGGGCACAGTGATGATAGAGGGGGAGGAAGGGGAGGGGCGCAGTGATGGAGGAGGAGGAAGGGGGAGGGGCGCAGTGATGATGGAGGGGCGGAAGGAAGGCGAGGTCAGGGTTCCTCCTATGGGGCCCGCGATGCGGTGCTGGCCCTCACACGTACTCTCATGTCACAGTCTTCAAGTCATGAAAGGCGAATTCTGTGTGCCCGGCTTATCGATGAGGAAAGTGGTGCTGTGGTTCACACACACCCCGACTGACACAGGGCCTCTCCCTGCCTCTCAAACCAAGCAGCAGCTTGTGGCCCCACAGAGCCCTCAGAGCAAGGACCCTCACACCACCCTACCACACGCCGCTCTGGCCTTATCTCCTGAGAAGAACAGAACCTCTGGCAGGACCTACAGGGTACCCTCTCTTGCCAGTCTCATGAGGCCCTTGTATTCTCAACTCAAAAAATGTGCTGCTAGGGCTGGGAAGGTGGCTCAGTGGTAGAGCGCTTGCCTTGCATGCATGAAGCCCTGGGTTCGATTCCTCAGCACCACATAAGCAAAAAGAAAAAAAGCCAGAAGTGGCGCTGTGGTTCAAATGGTAGAGTTCTAGCCTTGAGCTGAAGAGTTGAGGAACAGCGCCCAGGCCCAGAGTTCAGGCCCCACGACCAGACCAAAAATAAATAAATAAATAAAATTTTAAAAATGTGCTGCTATAGCTAACATAATGCTACCTGCGTGAACATCTGAAATCATTTCCTCTCAAGTCAGGTCTGAGTCAAAGGTGTTCACTCTCTTCTATCATATTCAATAGAGTGCTAGAAATTACTGCAGAAAAATAAGGTAAGAGAAAGAAAAGGAATTCAAATAGGAAAGGAAGAAGGAACATTATTCTTACTTGTACATGATATAATCCTTGACTTAAAAGAGGCAAAAGATTCTACCAAAGCATCCCTAGGCTTTTGGAATAGCACGATATAAAAGTAACATATAAAAAAATCAGTAGGTTTTTCTATACAACAATGAACATGCTGAGAACAAGTTCAGTAAAAACAATTCCACTGGTAATAGCATCAAAAAACTACAAAAACACCTAGAAGTAAATTATTATCTAAGAAGGTAAAAGACCTATTCAATAAAAACTATAAAATGTTGAAGAAAGAAATGTTTAAAAAAAACAGAACATGGACAGAGCTGCCATATCTTTGGATTTGGTCTAGCAGAATCCATGCTGTGAAAATGACTACACCATCTACAGATTCAGTGCAAACAGTTCATCAAAAAGCTCATCAAAACCCCAATGTTGTTCCTCACAGGAACAGAAAAATCAATCCTAAAATTCATATTCATATAAAATTCATATTCATATAAAATTCATAAAAAAGACCCAATACACCAAAAGAGCAATGCTGGAGGTATCACAACACCAGACTTCAAATCACATTGCAGTAACAACGACAAAAATCAGCATGGTAGTGGAATGCAAATAGATACAAGGATGCATGGAACACTGGGTATTAGCCTATAATCGCAGCTACTTAGGAGGCTGAGATCTGTGGATTGTAGTTCCAAACCAGTCATCTTGGGAAGAAAAGAATCCATAGGAGTCTTATCTCCATTTAACCACCAAAAAGCTAGAAGTAGAGCTGTGGCTACTGCAGTAGAGTGCTAGCCTTGAGCCAAAAAGCTCAGGAACAGCACCATGACCCTGAGTTCAAGCTTGAATACAGGCATACACAAACAAAAACAAAGAGAACAGCATCAAAGACACAGAAATAAACTCCCACAGCCATCTGACATTTTACAAAGGAGCCAAAGACATACTCCTATAGTCCTAGCTACTCAGGAGGCTGTGATCTAAGGATCACAGTTTGAAGCCAACCTAGGCAGGAAAAGCCGATGAGACTATACTCTCCAATTAACAACCAAAAAGCCAAAGCAGAGGTTTGGTTCAAGTGGTAGAGCTAGAAAGCTAAAGGATGGCTCTGAATTCAAGCCCCAGGACACACCCCTTCCTCCACTCCTATCCTCCTCTCCCCTCCCCCCCCACACACACCACACCTACACAGGCTGTGAGATAATCAGCTATCTACACACACACACAAACAGAAATAGGACCCTTTTCTTTTATCCTGTACAAAAATCATTTAAAAATGGATAAAAGGCTTTCAAGTAAGACCTAAAGCTCCGAACCTACTAAAGGAAAACGGAGGGAAAATAGAAAATTTAGTTATAAACCTTTTTCTGAATAAGACTTTTAGTTGCCCCGGAGATAAAAGCAAGAAATCACAAAATCATCAAAGGAAGCAATGATCAGACTCCAAAGACAACCCACAAAATGGGAGAAAGTCTTCAAGGAGATAACCAGTTTTCCCAGCATCATTTGTTTATTATATTACATTCTATAATTCTACAAGCAATCATCAATTATGCTTAAGTCAATATGGAATTTCTTCGAAAAAAAAAAAAGAGTAGAAGCTGGGTGTTGGTGGCTCACATCTGTAAGCCTAGCTACTCTGGAGGCTGAGATCTGAGGACGGCAGTTTAAAGCCAGGCCCCGCAGGAAAGCCCATGAGACTCTTATTTCCAATTAACCACCAAAAGAAGGAATAAAAAGGCAGAAGTGGCATGTGCACATGTGTGTACTCACACACACACAAACACACATATACACATACACATACACAAAAAAGCAGAGCTACTTTATGACCCATCTATACCACTCCTAGGCATATATCAATGAAAAATTAAAAATCAGAGTTACATTTTACAACTGCAAACTGCTGGTTTTGCTTCTGTAAACTTGCTTGTGCTAGCACTGACCCTTCCCCTCCCTGGAAATAAATAAAAAGTTTTGGAGTCTAGACCTCAGCCCTGGGACAAGCTCTGTAGTTGTAAATAAAGAACAAACAAGTAAATTCCCCAAGTGGCCAAATGGGACCCAAGAATGGGACCCAAGATAAGGACCACCTGGCAAGTCCAGCAAATGTTAATCAATCACAAGCCTGTAACTATGTAACTATGTAAACTCCCCTCCAGGCTGACCGCTCCCCCTAGACTTGCCCCGAGCCAACTGTTTTACAAAGAGTGTTATAAACTTCCCCGAGTGGTAAAAATGATTGCTGGAATGTATAGTGACTTTTAAATGGGCCAATCCTGGGGACACCTGGTGTTATATGCTAATCTTGTGGTTTTTGCCTTTAAGAATGCCTGTAACCGCTGTTCTGGGCTTCCTGTCTGCCTTGGACAGAGAGCCCGTTTGCGCAAACGCCTAGTAAACTCCTCTTGCTTGTTGCATCTGCTGGTTTGGAGTCTTGGTTCTTGGGGTGCCCTCCCGTTGAAGAAAGCATCCCAGTGAGTCTGGGGTCTTTCACCAAAGGGTGTAAATCAACATACAAGAGACATACATGCATACCCATGTTTACTAAGGACTGGTCACAATAGGTAAGATAAAGCACCAGGCTAGAGTCCCCACAAATGATGACTAGAGAAACTGATACAGATGGGTGAGAGATAGAAATTTGTCATCCACAAAGAAGAATGAAATCATGTCATTTGCAAGAATACAATGGAACTTGAGAACATGTTGACTGAGATCATAAAAACTCAAAAAGCCAAGTATCAAGGTTTTACACATATGTGGTACCTAGAATAATAATAGTAGTAATAATAATAATATTAGTATAAAAGAGAAACTGAGGTAGTCAGTGAGGAGGGGATGAAGAGGATCAAAGTAGAAAATATATTACATGTATATGTGTACATAGACATACATGTATATTATACATATATCCATATACATCTATGCATCTATACATACATATACGCCTATGTGCGTATATATATATATATATATATATATATTTATATATGAAGACAGCATAATGAAACCAACTCAACACTGTTTGAAAAGCAGTGGAGAAGAGGTAGTAGATGCAAAGCATGCATCTACGGAATTATCACAATGACACTCCCTTGTACTATTCATGTATACTAATATTAACTAGTTTATTTGATTTGAGAACAAAGAGCCTGGGGCTGTAGCTCAATAGTACAGTTATAGTCTGGTCATATGTGGAAGTCCCTAGATTCAATCCCCACCCACACTACGAGAAAAAAACAAACAAATGAACTAACCATTATTCACCATGATACCATACTTTTATGAGATTATATTATGTTCCATAGTAAGCAGTCATCTAATAAATTTTAAAAATGCCTTTAGAAAAAATATAATGAGATCATCAATTTCAAGTATGCTTGGAAAAAAATCAGTTGCTTATTCTGTATTTCAACACCCACAGGCAAAAACGGTCCTGGTGCTCAGGCTCCTTCTGGTGTGGTTAGGTGAAAAGCAAGGAGATTTGGGTGAGAGGAGTATTGATTTTTGTGTTTTATTTCCTCCTATTGAAAAGACTAGCTTGGTGATTTATTGTTTTTTTTAAAGAAAAACAACATTAAGGAAACAGAAGTCACAATTTTGGTCTGCTACTTCTTGGCAGATAATTGGATTTTAAGATTTTCATTAAACAACATATTTTTTTCCAGAAACAATTTAAATAATTGTGTAAATAACTTTGAAATTATGGAAAAATAAAGCATTAGAAAATCCTAAAATAGAGTTTATTTTTAAGACAAAAAGAACTTTATTTGTATACTAGCTAGATAGCTATTGATTTAAGTGTAGAGTTGTTGAAATTCATCTATGGGAAAGGGTCTAAAGAGTATACTATCATGTTGGCAGTGCTTTATGCTGTCGAATCATAAATGATTGTTTTCTTCTCTATATATTATTTTTATATTGGTTTTCTTATTACGATTATTAGGCTGTGCCATTAAGACAGGTTACTTTAATCACTAGAAAAATCTTAGTTATGGAGAAATTTGCAGATGAAAATTAAGACTCACTTTTAGTCTTGGACACTTATCCAAAAGACTACAAGTCAGGATATAATAAAGACACATGCTCAATCATGTTCATTGCTGCACAATTCACCATAGCCAAGTTACAGAAACAGCCTAGATGCCCGATAATGAACCAGTGGATCAAGAAAATGTGATTTAGATATGTCCGCACACACATACACAATGGAAATTCATTCATCCATCAGGAAGAATAATGCTATGTCACTTGCAGGAAAATGGATGGACCTAGAAAAATATGTTAAGTGAAGCAAGTCAGGCTCAGAGAGACAAGGGATGCATGCTTTTTTTCTCATTTTGATATAAATTAATAACATATCTGATAACACATACAGGGCCATACGCACGCATATATTTACACAATTGAACTGAACAAAGTATAATATACGCAGGGGTAAATTTCAATAGTGCAACTCCTTGTTAGCTGACGGTTTAACAAAATAAATCCCAGAAAGCTGAAGTATGTTTTGTCTGAGGGTGCTGTAGCTTAAGGGGAGATGGGAAGACAAATGGACAGAAAAAGGATGGGAAAATACAGTCCTAATATTCACTGTAGATAGACAAGAATGGAACCAGATAGCGTGAGGCCATGGGTGGAGTTTGGAGAGATGAAGACAGTTATGGAAGGGGAGACATTGGCAAGATGCATGGCATTCATAAGTTAACACACCGAATTGAAACCCCTTCATACAACTCCTCAAAGATATTTTTTAGAACACTCATGTCTAGGTCCTACTATTCAGAGAGAACCCACTAAAAGTATAATCAAGAAGAAACCAACGCAGAAAAGTGAAAACGGTCCTGTGGTGGTGGTGGCCGGGGGGGGGGCTGTGATTTTCCACATGTAACATGTGGAAACAGCAGAGATGTTCTTGGAAGAACCCCTGTTCTTGGAGGATGGGGAGATGGGTGTGTAACCTCACATTCAGGTCTCAGCTATCCCTACACAAGGTGGGCAGAGCCTCGTGGCTGAGGGGCTTCACGCTACCATGCCCAACACTGGTCCTGAACTTACAGGTGGTCCTCGGGCACCGTCCACTCCTGGCAGACCCGGCTCTCCTGCTTTGCCCTGAAAGAAGAAGAGAGCAGTTGGAAGATCGTATTTTCAGGATTTCCCTGTTGCCGTCTGCCAGTACTTTGTATCACTCTATGTCCACAAGCCACAGTCTTTATGACTGTCAGCCTGCTCACCCCGTTTTCTGGTCCATTTCATCTAGGCCCACACCCACAATACATCCACACCCAGGGCCTTCTAGGTTTCCTTTGGAGTGCTGGCTGCACAGTGCTTCCTGACTCCTCATGCCCTGCACTGTCAGAAGTGCTCCAGGCTGAGGAGAGATGACAGCAACGTCTCAATGCCCATGGATGTCTTCACCCAAAAGCTATTAAGGATTGTGCCTTCCGGGAGGTGACACAGAGAAGCAGGCAGGCACATTTCCACTGAGCATCGAAATGGAGAAGCGAGACTTCCTAGACTTGATCCACACCCAGATGGCTGTTCTTGCCTGTGATGTAGGTCTCTAAGAGTCAGGCAGTACAAGCCTATCCTGGGTCTGCTCCAAAGGAAAGTATGATGGTGGCCACAGGATTCAGATTACCCTCAGAAAAATGGGACAATAACCAGCAGGCCTTAATGGTGTCCATGAATCCACCCTGAAATCCAGCAAAACTCTTCTTAACCCTCCAGCCAAGCACTGGGATACAGAGAAGTTGGGTCATCCACCCAAGGAATGCAACTCAAGTTCTAGTGAAGACATTTACCAGCCACATCCTTGGGCTCATTGGGAGTGAATCTGCCTACAACCCCTTCAGAGGCTAGCTGTTATGTGGGGGGATGGGGAGGGGAAGGTGGGCAAGGACATGCTGGCTCCAGTGGGCTCTTGAAGGTGTGAAGGCGGCCCATACATGTGTGAGCGAAGGCCTCCAGGCAGTGATCATCCACAAAAGGCTGGAGCGTGATGCGTAGCTATCCCAGACCCTGGTCCTGCCTCAGAGATGGGGAAGGGCTGACCTTCTAGTGGTGTTCCTCAGGGATCCCCACAGAGCTGCCTCTGTGCTCCCTGGAGAAGTGACGCGCTAGCTGGCCTTTTCCTCGCCCCCTGGTCCAGTCCCCCGGAGGTTTACTTTGTAGGATTCCCTCCTGAATACCTGCTTCCAACCTCTGCCTAAGATCTCAGGGGATCCTAGGTTCTACCCGTGCCGTGCTGCTGGTTCCTCCCCTATAATTCAGGGTGATGAACAGGAGGGCAGCACCGTGAAGTTTCCCAATGAATCAATGGGAGAAGGCAGGCGTGTAAATCTTAGGCCCGGGCACGTGCAAGAGTACTGCTGTTCCTGGTCAGGTCATGGGGTTCTGGATGGGGCTCTCTGCGGCTGGTGGTGAGGTTACCCAGTCATATGCAGTCCAGGAGACACAGCCTTGTGTCCTATATGCACCCCATGCACCCAGAACAGACTTAGTTTTGCATCAGTAATGTCTAATGCCTGGCACAGGCATAGGCTAGAGCTGGCATTCAATAAACAGACCGAAGAAAAGATCAAAGTCCCCAGTTACCCTAGTGGAGGGAAACTTCTCAGGCTAATGCACCTCCAGAAAGCTGGATCCCTGTTCTGAGCTCTGTGCTCCAGGTTAACCCCTGGATGCTTCATTGATGAACCGATGATCTTGACTGATCTGTCTACCTCTCTGTGACAAGTTCCCCAGCTGGAATGATGATGGTCCTCCCCCCTGGGGCTTTACAGACAGATTGGAAAAGGAGGTGAAGTACTATGCCCGGGCCTCAGGTGCTTGCAGGAGTTCCAGCCAAGGGACACAGTGTCTGATGCCATCCACCTGCTGACTGCCCTTGGTCTCTTCCCCGGGGCAGGTCACCTGGGAGTCAGCCCTGCTTTAAGCATCTCTGCTAGGCTGCTTCAGAATTCTAGAGCCTTTGTTTGTAGTGATGAGCTGTTTCCCCCTCCCATTCCCCCCAGTGATAAATTTTGGCTTTGACATCTGGCAAACAGTGTAAACTGACAAAGAGGTGCCTCTGGCAAAACTGCGAGATTCAGAGGCAGTCATAATAGTTTATGACCAAACAAATTAAAACGGAACATGAACTTCCCCGTAGAAACTTTTATGTAATTCTACTTAAGGGCTCCAACGGCTCTACAGTTTCGACCTCACCAGGAATTAAAAGTAGGGCAGCTGCAAAAAGAAACTCACTAAAATAATTAACAGTCAGACAAGCCGGAGTAGGACATGCAGTGTTCACCTCGTTTGCTCCTCCAGTTACTCTGGCGGTCAGCTCCTTCTTTTCATTCTACAGAAAAAGACGCTAGTGCTCACAGACGCTATCTGACTCACTCTGGGTCATCAAGGAGTGGAGCCAGCACCACGTCCCAGTGGTGATTGTTGCTGTAACTGTGGCCTAACACATTTTTACTTCACCATTATCATTTAATTTTGTCAGTGAGAAATGCCTATCTATAGCTCCAAAACTTTTAAAATACAAACATTATGGTGAGGAAGAATAGATATATAGGGATAGAAAATGGCGGACCTATGACAAAAAAAATGGAAACAACCAACTCTTTGTGGTGACTCAGACAGTAGAGTGTCCACCAATGAGGAAGACAACAGATATGGGGTTCGAGGCCTGGTGTTAGATGACAAAGCCAAAAAGGTGGACATAACATGTGGCTCATCAGGACGTTCTTCTTCCCACAATGCCCTGGGCTCCCACTCAAATACTTCTTCCCATAATGCCCTGCATTCCTACTCAAATGCTTCTTCCCATAGTGCCCTTGTTTCTAATCAAATGCTTCTTCCTCCCACAATGCCCTGGGTGCCTGCTTACGCCCTGAAAAGAGCCAGGGTGACAGATATACGAGCCTTCAAGCGATCAGTGCCCAACTCAGTGGAGAAGATGTGGATATTGCCCCCGTATGGCAATAATCACCCCGAGAGAGGACTCCGCTGGACTTCCAGCTCTGGCCCTTTTCCACAGAGTCTCTGCTCTACTTTCATTTTTAACTAAACTTGCTCTGTCTGCTTTAAACAAGTTCCTGCCCTTTAATTCTTTAACGGGTGAAGAAATGAACCCAGACCCTTACACTGCATGGCAGGTGCATGAAGTTGCTTTCTCATTCCTGGGGCCCCTTGGCTCAGAGCCCTCACAGTGAACGCAAACTACTCTCTTCTGTGGCGTCTCACAGAGTTCCTTGACATCGAAAGCTAGGAAAATACAGACATCTATTTTTGTTGGGTATGTGAGAAAAACTATCTTTTCTATGAAAAATGCCTGCTTAAAAGTTCCTGCTTTGGCCTGGTGGCTTGTCTCCTGTGAAGGAGAAGAGGAACTGCTTTGGGATAAGGAAGGATTTTTGAAATGTAAGGTTTTGTCTTAAAATGGTTTCTTCTCAAGATGAAATTATGACACACAACAGATTGTTCAAGAAACCGCTAAGGGTGTACTTGTATACAGTTAATGTCATTTCAAAGTCACCTTATGTAAAAAAAAGTTTTACCCTTTTCAAACTGGCTGATCATGGGCTGATCACTGAGCTCAATCCAACAGAGCAGCGGGGCGGGGCCTGCTGTGTCGGGGATAAAAACGGGGAGCAGCCTGGGCTCCGAGTGCTTGCCAGCCAGGGGATTGTTGGCTGATGGAACACTCACTCCTCCACAGAAGCCAATTTTGCCTTGCTGAGACAATTCTTCATTCTCGTGTCTATCCTTGCGACTCCGATGTTGTTCTTGGAGAGCATATTTACAACAAAAGTAAGGCAGACTGTGCACTGCTCAGCACCTCTGTCTTTCCCTGTGACATGGTACTCGGAACGGTCCCACATCAACTCCCACAGAGAGCCTCCATTTGTTCTGACAGCTGCCATGTGTGGCTGTTTCCAGATGCACGCATGCCCTGCATGCAGCCAGCTTCTTAGGGTGGGCCTTTGGAGAGCCAGGCTTCGTGCCCACCCATTCATCTCCCCCTGAACCTGTGGGGTTCCTTTTGTTTTGATGTGGTCCCCTTGTTGTCAGTTCATGGTGCTAGGATGGCCGTGAGGGCCTCCTTGCTCATGCTCTGCCCCTGAGCCACACCCTGGCCCTGGGTTGATGACAACAAAGTTGCTGAGGACCCTGCAGGGTCATCCTCCTCCAGGAGCCTTGACTTGCTAAAGCTCGGGGAGGCAAGCTGGCAGACACCACGATGGGACCTTAGAAATCCCAGCATGCTCCTGCGGGTACCTCCAGCATCTCAGGAGCACTGTGTCCAGCTCGCTGGACACCCTTAGAGCCAGTGGATGACTGCCATGTGAGAAGAACCGCAAACGCCTCACTGACAGTTATAAAAGAGGTGTTAACACCGCCCAGCTTGCTGTCTTATGGACATCAGGTTTCGATGGCAGGTCCAGCTCACCTGCCCCAGCGAATGCAGCCCTATGGGCAGGACTGAGGCCCCACAGGTAGGACTGAGGCCCCACGGACAGTACACAGAGGTGGAGGAGGCACAGGACCCCGTGCCCAGGCTTCCTGGCAGGGAGGTGTTGGACTAGCCCTTTCACCATCCTGAGACTTACTCTGCTCAAAAATAAAAGGCAGGTGGCCTTTCAGGGGGAAATAAAGAGACTTCCTGGGTCACAGAAGCCCCTCAGCACAGAGGAGCCATGGCTGAGAAATGGCGAATTTGGCATATGAAATGAGAAGTGTGGACGTGCCTTACCGGCTCTCCAGGGGGCCCCGGCTTTCCTTCTCTGCCCTGTTTGCCTTCTTCTCCCTACAAGAGAAACACAATTTATTTATGAGGTCCATGAACAGTAGAGTGGAGGGGAGCATAGATGCCACCACAGCCCATCTTTGTTTTCTGCCAAGTTCCCCTCACCAGCTATAGAGGCCATCTCCATGCACACGCACACACACACACACACACACGCAGACACACACACATGCACACACACACACACGCACACACACACATACACACACACACACACGCACGCACACGCGCACACACAGAGTGGGTCTAGTTTCCCCCATTTCTTCCCCAGCATCAAGATGCTGACAATGGATGTCTGACAGACTCTCATGACCCATCCCATCCCAGGAAAGCAACGCATCTCGAATAGCAACGGTATTCTTGCCATCGACCTGGAGGATCACCATCCTCACTGGAGAATGGCATACCCCTGGCTCATCGCTGGGCCTCCTGGGTGAACATGGTGATAAAGAAGAGGACATTATGTGGGGAAGAGCAGAGCATTCGCAATGTTCTTGGGGCACCCGCATGACTCAGAGGACGATGTACAGGGGTAGTTCATTTTGGTTCTAGGAAGGCTACGAGCATTCTCAATTTCTCTCTATGCAGCCAGCTATGAGCCCCTCCCCATCTGCCCCATCCAGCCTCAGCTCTACATGTGCACTAACATCTTCCTGATCATCTGAGAGACAAGCATTTCCTCAGGTCTCTGGAGATGGGAAAGGGACTCTGATGGTGATGATGACAGAGGACATAGAGACCAAGATTGGATCCATGGCTCACAGACGGTGAGGCCAGGCACACGGAGGTGTCATGGTTCTCATAGGCCAGGCAGAAGGAAGAGGGAAGAGCTGGGTGGCCAGGAATCCTTTGGTGGAGAGAGAAAATTAGCTTGTGGTGGCTGCCATGAAGGGTGCAATGGGGTTGGCGTTAATAGAGAGAGATGAAAGTGAGAGAGAGAAAAGAAAACAGCTCATGAAGAACCAGGAGGCCGCAATGCCCAGTCTATACATGGACATTAGTCAATGGATACTAGTCAATAGACATTAGTCTTAGCAGTGACGCTAGGCACAAAGAGACGGTGGCTGATTGAATCTACCTTAGAAGGAAAGAAGGGAGAGACAGAGGGAGGGGGCAGGATGGAAGGGAAGATCAGATGTTTAGGGAAACAACATAATCATGTTGAAGGCTGTCTTCCTCTAATCGAGTCCCTGAGAGGAATTTATGTAATGGAGATGGAACACAGGGCCTCTGGTTGGCCTCTGACCAGAGCTCTTCACTACTTGAGCCGCAGCCTCGTCACAAGGTGGAATATTGATAAAGGGTTGATGCAAATTCCTCGTTCCAAAGTGGAGATTTTCTCTCCTAGCTTTACCATTGCTAGAATTTAGCCTACAGTGGTTTCCTAGGTTTCGATGACATACCAGTCTCTAGGACTGCTGTTTACACTGACAGTGGCTCCATCCCAGCCTGTCACTTGAGATCCAAGCCTAGATAGTCAGAAGACTGCATTCAGGGCTACCCAGGAGAGACATCACCTCCACTCATCCGTGGGAGTATCTGTCAGGCATTCTATGAAGAAGGGCCCTATGAGAGCAATTTACCCCTTTAATTAATGCTGTATGCTCCCTATCTGTGAGGACCGAGGGAGAACCAGAGCAGATGTAATTCTTAACTCTCCTTGAAACTGTTCCCTCATAATGTAGTATTACTAACTGCTCTTCTCTGTTATATCCACAGATCTAGAAAACAGAGGTGTCTAATCTGAGTCTGTTTGAATGAGCAACTGGAATCACATCAAGGAATAGCAGCATCCACTACACCAGTACAAATGTGACCAGTAGCTGGGACAGGAGAGGTGAGACTGAGAGGCTGATTTGGCCTGTCAGGACAGAGAAGGAAGCATGCCGCAAGGACTGGACCAACATGGGAAGGATCAAAGTCCTCGGGGGTCTGGGGATCTAGACCGTTCTTGAGGTTCTGGGTTCAACTTCCCAGAAGTACAAAATAAACCAACAGGGTGATCAACTCAAGGAAGAAAGATAGCAAGTTGAACTGGGACTGGAAATGTAGCTTAGTGGTGAATGCTGCCTTGTATATGTGTGGCCAGGGTTCCAGTTCCCAGCAATGTATACAACAGCAGCCATCAGTCAAAGAGGAAACCAGAACATGTGCTTGGCAGATGAAAATGCTCATAAGCCCGAGAGAAGGCACCCAAGTGTGGTAAGAAAGTGTAGCATGTCCTAGAAATCACAAAGAAATGGTAAAAGAATACATGGCCGGAGCCAGTGATGGCAGCAGGCAAGGCCAGACCTCCAACCACACAAGAATTAGTTCTCCATGCAGAGGCCTTTCTGGACAGAGCCGATTACAAGCACATGGTCCATCTCACCTCTACTGAGATGCATAGTCAATGGAAAAGGTCAGAACAATGCTGATGGATAGACATTTTGTAGTATATATATATATATACACACATATACATATATATGTATATGTACATATACATATATGTATACACATATACATACTTACATACAAAGAAAGGAAATACAATTTAAATCAATAATATATCACCAATATAAATATATATACACATATGTGTGTATATGTGTGTATATATATATATATATATATATATATATATATATATATATATGACTGGCTACCCCAAAGTTTGGTTGATTCAACTGAAGAATCAGTTAGTAACTATATATCTTCTAATTTTTACAATCATGAAATTCCACTAATCATCATGCCTTTACACACACACACACACACACACACACACACACACACACACACACGTTCCTTTACATACTATATGTGTTTGCTTATGTTTATAAAGGGAAACTCGATATTTTTTTAAGAATCACTTACTGGGATTCCAGGAATTCCCGAAGGGCCTTGGGGTCCAGGAGGACCTTCTTTCCCCTAAAAAAGAAAATCCAAGACACAAACAGTGAGACCCTTGATTGGCTTTACTAGACACAACCCAGCTGGACTCCCCATGGTGACCTCCCCATGGGGAGGGGCTGTGGTTAGAAGCCAGTGCCACCCCCTTCTTTGCTCCTTGGGCTGCACATCTCCCAGGAAAGTGGGCTCCAGGCTGTAAATGTAGTGAGCATTGAACAGCAGCGGGAAAACGCTCACCCCAATGCTGCCCGCATTCCGGTGACTGCAGAACTCCACCGTTATAATGGAGGTGGGAAGAATGCGTTAAGGCCTTGAAGTTCATCAGGCTGGGTTCAGGTCCAACTTGACATTGGTCCCCAAATATCCTGAACCTTGGGTTCTCCAACCACAAAGCACAGAAACCTCCAGCTACTGTCCCCACCAAAACCCAGCACAAATGAAGGCTGGCCATGTGGTTATGTATAAGGGATGATTTTCTTGTTTTCGCCATTTTGGTTCAAAGGTGATTAAACTATAAAGATTTACTAGGCCAGCAAGTCATGTGAGTATCTGTTTGAAAGACTGTTTTGGTGAACGGCATTAATTAGCACTTCATTACCCATTTCATTCCTCAAAGACACAGCACTGACACTGTTGTCTCGAGTTTTTGTGTCAGCAAGAGGCAGTCAGTGCCACTGTCCAGCACAATGCCTTTTCTATCTCCTCCCATCTCTGTGCTAAGAGAATGCAGAGGTCCTGGCACTATGGTAATCCACTACCAATGCTCTGTGAGATAAGTACTAAGTGCCAGCCTTTAGTTCTGACCATACAAATGAAGGTTTTTCTTAAAGGTTATACATTTAGCCTCTTAAAAAGCATTTCAATCTCATTCCTTGTTATGGGTCTATTTAATTGGTTTAAATCTTCTTGGTTCAGGGTGGGTAGATTTTGCTTGCTTCTGTTGTGATATCCCCTTTTGTAATCTCTAATTTTAATTTATTTAGGTAAGTTGCTTAGATTTTCTAAGGGTGTCAATTGTTTAAATTTTTTTCAAAGAACCAACTCTGTTTTGTTGTTACTTGTATGGCTTTTTTGTGCCTCTAAACTATTTCTTTCTGGTCTAATTTTTATTATTTCTTTCTAGCTACTGGTTGGGGGCTGGCTTGTTCCTGTTTTTCAAGAAACTTTAGGTATATCATTAGAGTGTTGATTTGAGATATCGCTAATTTGTTTATGTAGACACTCAAAGTTATAAATTTTCCTCTGAGTATTGCTTTTGCTGTGTCCCAGAGGAGCTGGTATGTTGTGTGTTTATTGACATTGAATTCCAGAGACATTTGAATTTCCCTTATCTCTTCATTGCAGTGATATCATAGGCAAAATATGGAATCATCCTAGATGTCCCTTATTGGATGAATGGACCAAGAAATGTAGTAATTCTACTCATCAATCAAAAAGAAAGATATTGTACCATTCCTAAGGAAATAGAAAGACACTGAAAAAATTATATTAAGTGAAGTAAGACGAATGCAAAATGATCAACACAATAAATCAAAATACTCATTTCTTCCCTATGCCACAACATCCACAAACACGTAAGCAAATAAAAGCAATGCACTTTGTCAGCACAAAACAAGTATTCCATCATCATTACAGAATTTTAAGCACTGATATAGCCTTCTAAGTTCCTTCCTAGAGAAGTTAGAATAGAAACAACCAAAACAACAAACAGAATCCAAGAGAGAGGCCAGCAAACTCTGGCCCTCTACCTGCTTTCATAAATAAAGTTTTATCAGCACACCATCACACCACTATGTATGAAGTGTGCCTTATTGTTTGCTTTACCCCAGCTGAGGTAAGTTGATGTAGCAGAGCATATGGCCCACACAGCCTGAAACATTTGCTACTTGTTTCATTCTATGGAGAAAGTTAGCTAAGTAGCAAGATTCTCTTGGTTCCTGGGTGAAGAAGGTATGATTACATAATAAGGTGACAAGCCTAGGAGAGGACTAACTCCTGACTCCCTGTCCAGTGCTCTTAGCACCACAATGGCAATGAATCAGGACCATGGACAGCTCCAAGCATGGGTATAATTTGCCACAAGGGTTCTATGATGGACTCTGTCTTATTAATTATAGTTTTGTTCCTAGGAATGTAGTTCTTTTAAAAACAAACCAAAACCCACATGGGCTGTACAGCGTACACTCCTTGCAACAACTTTCATCAGGGAAATCTCTTACAGTCTGAAAATCATTGCAAAGCAATCTGCAGTGTTTTATTCTGCCTGTGGGCATTGCTTCTAAAGACCTGACCACAGAATGATCTTTAAAAGGGCCACATGAAGCTGATGCTGGTGGCTATACCTGTAATTCTAGCTACTCAGGAGTCTGAGATCTGAGGATCAAAGTTTGAAGTTAGCCCAAGAAGGAAAGTCCATGAGACTTTTATCTCACTACTAACCACTAACAACCACAAAAAAAAAAAAAGAAGCCAGAAGCAGAGGTGTAGCTCGAGTGGCAGAGCCCTAGTCTTGAGCATAAAAAGCTCAAGGAAGGCACTCAGGGCCTGAATTCAAGCCCAAACACACACAGGTCCACACAGCTTTCAAGTACATAATCTCATCATTCTCTGGTGTGTTGGTATGCAATAACAGGAAGAACTATGAACTGAGAGTTCCCAGATTGACATAGGTCTTAGGTACTGACTTAATATTATTTTCCTGTATGCATTTGGAAAACTGACTTGGCCACTCTGGTTGTCACCAGAGCCCAAAGACCCCAGGGAAAGGTTGACCTCCTTGCCAGCTACTCTAGGACTACAATGCTGAGATTCCTATAAATCGAGCTGCGTGTTATTATGTGACCCTGAACGGGTCACTTCAATTCTCCAAATTCAACCTTCTTTATTTATACAATGGATATAATAATTTGGGGGCTGTTATAAAGGAGGTTCATCCAGAAGAGACAGGGATATGAATGGATTTCTGCATATCCCTTTACATGTAGGCATGCCAGGCTCCTGGCTAAACACCCTCTCTGAAGTGCATTTCACCTTTTGCTTTATGGTACTGAAGTGAATTATGTGCTTCTAGCAGCTTTGTGCAATGAAAATAACTCTGGCTTTTGAGCAAGAGGCATTGGGTTGAAATGCTAACTGTGCCTGTTGTAATTTGGAGACCTTGGCTATTGACTTAGCGCTTATTTTCATTCCCCTCTGGAACACGTGAATCTTGATACTGCCTCTTACCTGATATGCATCAGGGCACAGAGTAGCTCTGGAAGAGCTAGCCTGAAACTGTTCCACTCACCTGGGCTTGCTCAGAGTAAAAGCTATGAAAGTGAGGTATACCTCAAGAACCTGCTTGTGCTGGTGTCTGTACGCTGAATTCTGGAATTAAAGAGTGTCAGATCATTTTATCCAAACCTCTGTTTCAATGGGGAAGTAACCAGGCTCACCAGAAAGCAACTGACTCTCTGCTTTTACTGCAGAGCTTCTAGAGATCTCTGGGAACATTTAGGCCCAGGAGGTAGAGAGCACTGTGACAGGGCAGGGGAACACCTGGACTACTACCAAGGCCCAAGACAGATTTGGGAGAGCTTCCATCCCATACAGAACTCACCTGCAACCCTGGAACACCTGGAGGCCCAGCAGCTCCCGCCAGTCCATCCGCTCCCTAGAAAGATGAGGCAGAAAATTAGTTCCTCGGGCAACTAGTCCATTGTTAGTACTCTCCTCTGCAGAGATAAAATGATGCACAGATTTTTTTAAATTATGTTTTTATTATCTTTAAGTAGCAGCACACAAGGGTTAACATTTCACGTGTGTGGTTGTGATCAGTGTCACCCCTTTTGTAATTCTCCCCATCCCTCCCAGCCCAACCCCTCCCGTCCAGTTTCCTAGTTTCATAGAATATGCGTTGAATATAATGTCTGCACCTGTCCCCCAATTCCTCTCACCGTGTGCCCTACCCTAGCTCCACTAGCCTAGGTGTTCCTTGTGAGCTCAGGTTGTCCTGAGGAGCTACCACCAGACTTCCAGAAGCACCAAGACATTAACCAGCCTGTCCATCCCAAGACAATGGCACACAGTCTTACTTTATAATGGACATTCTCAGCCAGGGTCAGGAAACATTTCAGGCTGAAAACAATAAATGAACGCCTGGATCTCTCTCCTGAGAGATGAGGAAGACAATCATTTATGTCAACCCAGGGAAGAAGCGATACACAGGAGGAGGAGATGGAAGGAGAGCCCTGCACAGGTACACAGAATACACCCCGGACACACCGAGGGCCCCGGACACACAGAGGGGCCCCAGCATACAGAGAGCCCCCGGCATACAGAGGGGCCCAGGCACACAGAGGGGCCCAGGCATGTGTGTGCACCAGGGCCCTTGCACCTAATGTTCACTCTGCCTACAGCCCGGCCCCCTGTGTGTCCACAGGGTGCAGCTCCATCCCAGGAGAGTCCTCCTGTCCCCCAGACCCTGCCCCTCACGACTCTGCTACCATTTGTTCATTTTCAATCTACTTTTTTCTAGAGTATTTCCAACACTGGCCATGGAGGTGCTTATTAGCTTGCCTTGCCATTTGTTTATTGTCTGTCACCATGATCCTCAGATCTCAGCCTCCTGAGTAGCCAGGATTACAGGTGTGAGCCACCAACACCCAGCTCTTTATTATTGACAGTCCTGAAGAATGTGAACGCATGGCCTCATACTTGCTGGGCAAGCACTCTACCACTTAAGCCATGTATTTTTTTTTTGCTTTAGTTTATTTGTTAGATGGGATCCCGCACTTTTGCTCAGGACCAGCCTCAGTCATCCTACCTGCCCTTCAGCTATCACTGGGATTGCAGGTACCACTACCATGCCCAGCCAAAGCAGGAGTTCTTTAGGCTAATTCACACGACCTCTTACTAGCTCTCATAGAGTCATATTAGATTTCTAAGCTTCAGGAACCTTCTTAGACCCAGAATTCTGGGTCCGTAGCCTGCTCCTTCAGTTGAGCTGTTTTGCCCTCAGCAAGTGTCCTTATAGCCTTTGTATCACAGTTCCTTTATAAAATACAGAAAGAAATGGCAGCAACGATTGCACATGAAGTGAGGAGATAATACACATAAAGAAGTAGCCAGCATCCAGAACACCTGGGACTCTCTGCAAAGGGCATCCATTGTCCACAGAGGACCAAAGACGCTGCATTCATTACATATGAAGTTACAGACAAGCAAGTGCTCATTGTCTGTGTATCTATCAATACAGCTTTGTCTAACTGGTGTGAGTGCTTAATGTGACCAGGTGTCAGCCACACTGTAGGAAGGCAGAAGTTTCTGCACCACAGACTTGGACCTCAACGAAATTGATATAGTCACAGAAAATGTGTTGGTTTTCCATGGATGGCAAATCCTACAATCAGACAGGTTTGCCCACCTCTGCCACCAGACAAGAATTCAGCAAGTGTTCAAAAGGGACAATGACACTCCTTAAATGTATAGTATAAGGTTTCTTGTTAGATTACACACATGGTACAAAGCTAACAGAACTAGAAGACAAATGTGAAAGGCACTTGTCTGCTTGGTACCCAGATCACAGAGTGCCCAGGACCGTGACTTGCACAGGACCTGACAAATAAGCATTCAAAAAAATAATGCATAGAAGACCAGGCAAGAGGGTTAATTTCTTTTTTTGGGGGGGGGGGGTTCCGGTCGTGGGGCCTGAGCTCTGGGCCTGGGCGCTGTCCCTTAGCTCTTCAGCTCAAGGCAAGCGCTATACTACTGAGCCACCTTCCCAACCCGAGAGGGTTAATTTCTTGCTCCCAAGTCGTTGCTTCTACATGACCTGCTGCTGGCCCTGAAAGGAAGCAGACTCGATGACACCCACGTTCAAAGGCAATTAACAAGGCACGGCACAAAGCAGAAACTCGATAGACGCTTGCTGAGCGAGCCCAAAGCACTTGCAAGCAAGAGACAGCCATGCTTCCTCCATCCTTGCCAATACCTTCTGACTCCAGGAGTGCTCTAAGCCCCCATCCATCCGGAACCCCCGGTCCCTCTACATTCACCTCAGAAGCCGTGGGATCTGTTCTGTCAGTTCAACTCTGGTCGCTTTAGAGAGTGCCATCCTCCTCCCCAGATAAGTTGCATCCAGTACAATCCCAACTCCAGCAAGTGAGGACATGCTCAAATGTGAAGGCCAGAAAAGAAGGGCATACAACGTTCTACTTACTGGTGGCCCAGGATTCCCAGGGGGCCCCATGAAGCCTGGAACTCCAGGATGACCCTGAGGAGACACAAACAGCGATTCTGGAAACTTCCTCATGAAAAGCTTTCACCATGTACAAACACAAGATTTCAGGCGGAATCCAGCATCCACCTCTAACCCTATTAACCATTTCTATTAAAGACACTGACAGCAAAAAGGATGTCTTCTTCTTTTTTTTTTTCATGCATCACTACACAATCAAAAGGTGGATAAAATGACCAAGAATACTTATTGAAAGTGTGCCCTGAAAGTGGATTTGCTTCCAGATACTGTGTGTGGAAACGGTGAAGGGTTCTGGGTTCATTTCATTATACTCTCAACCTTGTGGATGTGTTTGACGTGTTCCATGGTAAAATCTAAGAACAAATTCACACACATTCACCAACGCATCCTGATGTCCCTCAGTATCCACAGGGCGTGCCATGGATCTGAAGATGCTCATGGCCCTTATACAAAAGAGCACCTAACTTAACACATCTTCCCATAGACTTTAAATTATCTCTGGTTATTATAACTGCACTGGAAATACTATATTTTTACCAGGCACACTGTACCTATGTAAGGGGTAATATTAGGAAAAAGTCTACACATCTTCAATTCAGATGTAAAATTTAAAACATTCTTAACCTACAGTTAAGTTGTCTGAATGGATTCAGAAACCATGGGAATAGAGGATGGATTGTGTGTCTATATCTCTCTGTGACATACAAACACACACACACACACACACACACACACACACAGAGTCATTTATTCTATGACAGTGCCGTGTATAGTCATAAAACAAAAGAAGAAGTTACATCCCTCTCCTCCACCTGCATGCCCTGACACCGGCAAACATGAGCAATCATACCTGGGGTAGAGTGCATTTTACCTGTGACATGTCATTGCTGTAAGGATAATACAAATACTCTTTGTTTTTCCTACTGCAGAAGGGCTTTTAGCTGATCGCAAGCCAGGCTTGCCTCTCACTGCTTTTGGATCACCTGCTCACATACATCATCCTTTATTCAGCCACCCCAAGTGCCATGAGGTCAGGATCCGCCCCTTGCTCATGCTGTGTCTCAGACTGAGCTAGTGGAGCTGGATCCTGCCATGGTACTGCTTTACTGTGATGCGTGCTGAGCTGAGCTCTACAGAGGTGCATGGAAATCCCAAAGAGAAGGTTGGTGGGAGACAGAGAGGGAAAGATGGAGAAGGAGGGAAAGAAAAAGAGAAGAAAGAGAGAAAATGGAGGAGTAGGGGGAAAGAGAGAAACAGAGAGACAAACAGAGAGGCACAGAGACAGACAGAGAGAGAGAGGGAAAGAATGGGGCTATGTAGAGAAAGCCCCTCTCACAACAGTACCATGCCAGCTATACATTATTAAGGTTTTTTTTTTTTTTTACCTGATCACCTTTCTGTCCAACTTCACCATCTGCACCACGCTCTCCTTGGCTTCCCTTGGAAGGAAGAAAAAGAGTCACTGGAAATCTCACTAGAGCTGCATCACAAAAGAAAACAAAATGTAATCATGCATTCGTTCATCTATCCATTCTTCAACAACCCCCTATCATGGCGCTGCTGTGTGCCAAGCACAGGGGCAGTGGGCATGGTGGCAAAACGGCTTAGCTGGGCTTTGGGGACCGTGGAAGGGGCATCAGGAAATGTCACTGGGAGACAGTGGGCCTGCCTGGGATCCCGGGGTAGCACGTCTGGGTGTCGTTGCAGGAGGTTGGAGGATGAGCTTAGATTTTAGCTGTGGCTGGGGTGTGAGGTAAGCTAGACCATCCAGGCTGAGGAGCAGAGAATGGCTGAGGGGAGAGCATTAGGTTATCATGAAAAAGAGTTGGATCAGAGACAGAACCAGTGTGGTGCCTAAAGGTTCTGGAACGCAGGTGTGCAGATGAGGAAGGGGACACCGCGGAGATGGTGGGGCTGGGAACAGAGCTGCCCACGGGGCTTGGTGGGAAGCCCCTCCTGACGTGCGGCCCTAACTCCCTCCCCAACTGGAACCCTGAGGAGCCAGCAAACACCTGGAGAGAGTTTTTGTTTCCTTTTTGTTTGCATGTTTTGTGCTGGTCCAAAGGTTTGAACTCGGGGCCTTGTTCTGTCACGCACAGCTGGTGAGCTACACTTCCCCTTCTGCCTCTTTGCTGGCTAACTAGAGATGGCATCTTGAAGATTTTTCCTGCCCTCACTGGCTTTGAACCACATCCTCAGATCTGAGCTTCCCGAGTCCTTAGAAGGATAGGTGCCTATACTAATTATTATGATGTGTGAGAGAATAAAATCAGATAATAAAACATGGCGCTACTTCACACTCTACTCGGAACACAGTGCCGGCTTGTAAAGATGAAGTGTTAGTATTGCACTGGTTATTTCATGTCTTAATCCTGGCCTTCTCACTGTGTCTCTGGACTAGGTGATTCCACTCTCTGTATCCCAACTTCCAATGAGTATTCTAATGGGAGCATTATTGTAGGGCTATTAAGGAGACTTACATGCCCCAAGATCTATAAGGTGCTTTGACTAGTGACAGGGTCAGTGTTCAACCTTAATAACCCTGGCGATCACCACCAGCACCACCACCTGGCCATCACTAGCACTGCAACATTCCCCTGATCATCCTGGTCCACATTACCATTGTCACCCTCGCCATCAGCATCACAACCACCACCCCTCCTCCTCCACCATCATCCATCATCACTGTCACATCCACCACCATCACCATCCACCACCACCACCATTATCTTCTTCTCTTCATCACCACCAGCACAGGTCCAGCTCCACCACCGCCATGGTCAACACCATCATCACCATCACCACCACCACCATCACCACCATAGTAGCATGAGAGTCAGAACATACAACCTATCTGCAATATTTTTAGAGACTAACCTTAAAAATACCATTCAGCAGTTGCCGGTGGCTCACACCTGTAATCCTAGCTACTCAGGAGGCTGAGATCTGAGGATAATGGTTCAAAGCCAGCCTAGACAGGAAAGTCCATGAGACTCTTACCTCCAATAAACCATCAGAAAACCGAAAGTGGTACTCAAAGTGGTAGAGCCTTGCGCTGAAAAGCTCAGGGACAGTGCCCAGGACCCAGAGTTCAAGCCCCAGGACCGACAAAAAAAATACCATTCAGCCAGGCACTGGTGGCTCATGCCTGTAATCCTAGTTGCTCTGGAGGCTAAGATCTGAGGATCTAGGTATGTAGCCCGCTCTGGCAGGAAAACCTCTTGACTCTTATCTCTACTTAACCACTAAAAAAAGCCAGGAATGGAGCAATGGTTCAAGTGGTAGAATGCTAGTCTTGAACAAACAAGCACACATACAACACCCAAGTCCTGAGTTCAAGCCCCATGACTGGCACCAAAACCAACAAACAAAAACATTCAGAGCTTCTGATCTTAACTATCTGCCCACCCTGGTTTTGAATCTACTATGTATACAAATTAACAAATGCATGAATATAAAAATATTGTTAAACAACATTGAGATACCACCTCACTTCAGCTAGAATGGCTATAATCAAGAACTCTAACAACAACAGATGCTGGAGGGGATGTGGACAGAAGGGAACCTTA